TTCACAGATCCAGCTTGTGTGGCAGGGGCCCTGCCTTCAGAGATCCAGTTCTTAAGGGGAAATGGCAACATCCATGGGTCAGGGGTGGAAGTGGGGTGGCGGCGGGGGGCGGGGGGAATTAAAGAGGGGAAAATATTTTTTGGTATATTCATTATAATAGGCCAAAAAAGAAAACATCAATATTTACAAATATTCAACATTGAAAAATAGCACCATCTTTCTCAAACATGTGGCAATCCACAGATACTGGGAGACAGTGGTGGTGGACTGATTAAAATCATGGGCTCTGGAGCATTTCTGCTTGGGCTGGAATCTCATCTTCCTTTTTATTACCTATGTGACTTAAGCAAGTGAATTATTTCTTTGTGGCTAAATTTCCTCATCTGTAAAGTGGGAATAACAATATCTCCTTTATAAATTTGTTGTGAGAATTATATGAGTTAACATAAAGCCCTTAGAACAATGCCTGACACTTAGTAAAGTGTACTTAATTTATGTTATCATTGTTTTATATTTCAGAATCATGATACAATTTCACTGGAAAAATAATAGTTCTTATTTTTAGAATTATAGTATATTGAAACATCCTCAGGAAATAAGTGGTTAAGTTGTCTGTTGGTGATCCAAAAGCTGTGCTTATAAATTAATCTCCACACATTCATCATTTATCTTTATTGAAGCTCTGTATAAGTGTTAGGCTTTGCTGCAGTCACAGTTTATGTTAGTGTTTCCAGAACGGTGATGCATTTTTGAATGGTGTGTTGAACACTTTTAACTTTATCGATTACTTCCTTTTCCCTCCCACAAGAATAACTTTCTATTACCATTTAACTGAAATGCATTTACAACATCCCGCCCAGGAATGCACCTCTTCCATTATGTGAGAAATAGCTGCGTAAATGTTTTTGTGCCATTTTAACGATATGCTCCGCATTTATTTATGTATTACTGCTGAACATAGTCTTAATTATTTTTTCATATTATGTGTTCTCATAGTAATTTTCCTCAAGGTTAGTAACCACATCCACTTTAATTTTTCCACTTGTTCATGGCATAGATTTGTATACTTTTTAGGGTGTGCTGTGCATGAAAAAGAGCCTTAAGACACTTTGGGGACTGACTTACTGAAATAACTTCTCCAGCATCAATCCTGAAAGAACTAGGCCAGTAAACCACAGAATTTTGTAATTATTTTTAGCTTGAAGAGACCTTAGAGATCACTTTTTCTAGATCCTCCATTTTACAAATTAGGAAACTGAGTCCCAGTGTACATGTGGTAGAGCCAGGATCACAGCCCATTCTTCCCACTAACAAGCCCAGTACTCTTTTGACAGTATCAATCAATAACCCTTGGATTGAGTCATCTATTTTCCAGGTGACTTCTGCATATTCTGGTGTGTGTGTGTGTGTGTGTGTGTGTGTGTGTGTGTGTGTGTCTGTGTGTGCCTTTAGGACTTTATAGCCTTACCAGGTTACAGAAACACCATTTAATATAGAAGAAAGGAGACACAAATTAAAAGGAGAGTTTTCTCTTCCTGTGTCTTCATTAATATCGTTTTTGAGGAAAAAATAG